TAAATTAATTTATTAACTAATGCCCAAAGAAGATTTCTGCATGGTTAAAACTGTAGGTGGGGACACATTGACTCATTAGTAGCTGGTGAAAATATTTTAGTTGTTGGTAGCCATTAGAAAAAAAATAACTAGAAAACAATACAAAGGAAAATAGAGTGCATCCTATATAATCTTGGCAAGTATTGTTTAGTGAGATTTTTATTCAAATTTTATTTGTGAAAGTGTATCTGTGTGTATGTGCGTGTGTGTGTGCACTGGGCCATGTTATAAAGTTTATTTCTTACTTTGGGCTGCATTAGTCAGAAAAGTTTGAAAATCACTGATCTAAATTAATTGCCAATAACACATAGCAAATAGGTAGCATATTAGGAAATTGGACTCAGGTTGCCTACTGCACATCTTGTGTAATTTGTTCTGCAGAAACATGCAGGAAAAAATACTATAAACTGTAATTTAAAAGATTTAGGTAATTAGATGTATGAAGTTAAAAGAAAGAAAGAAAACACTATAAAGTGGTGTAGTCAAAATGATTCTCTATAATTTTATAAATTATAGGTTCGAGTGTGAATTGATGTCATCTTTTGAAGTATTAATTGGCAGTACCTATGAAAATTTAACTACATATATCTTTTGCCCAGAAATTTCACTTTCAACTCTACCTGACAGAGGCACACAAATAAGTAAGCATATATTCACGAGGACACTTACTACAGCATTTATTAAGCAAGATAATAAAGAAAAAACAGGAGACCCATGAAGTATGCATCAACAGGTGTCATTGTGGGGCAATATAAAAACTCTGAAATTAGATGTTAGAATTCCCTTCTCCAATATAGTTTGTGAAAAACATAAGAAACACAATCAATTTTTTTAGAACACAGTTGATAAAAAGGATGAATAAACTCTTCTTGTGTATGCTTGTACCTTTCCTTTTGCAGAAAATTCTGCACAAACATGCTACATTTAGCAGACCCCTTTATAGAATGTACAATCTTGAATTGTGAAGACCAAAATCTGAGGACAAAGTATTTATAAAATTAAGTTATCCCAAATAAATTAGACTCAGTTTTCTGTCCTATTTATTTGAGATAACTTAGTTTTATACATATAAATTCTGAAGTCCTGGTTTTTCCTTTAACTCTGAGCTTTATTGATTCCTGGAGTCTACTACAGAAAGAGATCTATTAAGTTTGTTGATTAATCCTAGGTTTAATAATTCCGTATAACTTTTGTTTATCTCCTGAGAAAATAAAACAAGCCATATACAGTTGAGGTTCTCATTTTTCCTTATTAGTTTACTGAAAAACTTCACCAAACATCTATGATTGAAACAGTCTGGATCTTTGAAACTCACAATCATCATAAAGAAATAAATATAGCAGCGACAACTTTAAAGTACGTGGTATGATGAAAGGAAAAGAAAAGAATTTGAGATAAGAATACAAAGAAATAGCTTAGTGACACATATTCCCAGAATTAGGCAGTGATTGATAATGGGGGAATTGTGATATAAAATTGTCATGACAAAATACAGGGATTACCTCCTTGTTTTTTATGATGAAACTTCTGCATGATTCTGATGTAACAGGAAAATATTGCTGAATTGCATTTGAAGATGGTGAACTAGACACAGAATACAGAATCTTCCCTTCTGCATCAAGAGCTTCAGAATAACAAGGAAAGTATTAAAAGAAATCTATAACCATGCTTAAATTCAGTTTGTGGAAACTCAGTAGACCTAGATCTATATACAGTTCTTAGGGAGAGAAAACATACAGAATGATATTGAATAAGGAAATCAATAGTATATTTAATATCATAAATCAATAGTATATTTAATACCATATGTATTAATACCATATATAATACCGCTATTGAAACACATGAGTAGTAATTCCAAGAGTCCTTCAAATTTAGTGCCGGAAGGAACCCAAGAGCAATTGGCAGGGTAATCACATTCCCACCCTGAAATATAGGGATTCCAAAAGAAGATTTCAATTTGAAAAATTAGTGCAGGGTCAAGCAACACCAAACATTTGAAGAAAATAAACATTATGAGAAGGAGACAATAAATAAAACAAATGAAACATCTTACACCCAAGGAAATATTTTAAGAAAACAATCAAGATACAGAAAATAAGTATAAGTAACACAATCAAATAGACATTAAAGTTTATTTCATTAATAAAAAAAATCCATAGATCATAAAGATTTGCCTAGTTGAAACAGAACAAACTAAACTAAAACAGTAGCTGAAGAGCAGAATGGACACCTCAGAAGAAAAACTTCTTGACCTGGGAGACAAAAATAAGTAATTGCCCAAAATATGGTACATGGGGAGATAATAAAGATGGAGAATATAAAAATAAAGATAAGAAATATGAAGGATACATATGGAGACATTTCAGCATTTATCTAATAGGAGTTACAGAAATAGTGAATGAGAGAATAGAGAACAAGCAATAACAGTTATAATGACAAAAACAGATGAGAAATTTCCAGAATTTATCTAAAACATGAATTCTCCTTTAGCCTTCAAAGCAGGAAAACAGATTATACTGAAAGGAAATAGAATCATATTGAAAACTTACCATCACCAACATTGGCAAGAAGAAACGTTAGGAAAAAAATCTTTGTCACTTTAAGTACACAGAGAGTTCTTAGACATGACACCAAAACACAATTAATGATAGAACAAATTGATAAGTTGGACTTTATGAAAAATAAAAGCTTTAGTTCTTCAAAAAACAGTCTTAAAACATTAAAAAGACAAGCCACAGACTAGGAGAAAATAATTGCACATAATATATCTAACAATAAAGTTGTATCCAAGATACATAAAGAACTCTCCTAACTCAATTGAAAAAAAAACAATTAAAAAGGGGCAAAAAGATTTGGACACTTTTCCAAAGAAGATATACAAGTGGAAAATAAACACATGAAAGGATGTTCAACATCATTAGTCAGAGAAATGCAAACCACAATAAGGTTCCAATACATACTGATGAAAGTAGCTAAAATAAAAAGACTTGACAATGTCATATGCTGACAAGGATGAAGAGCTATTAGAAATATCATTCATTGTTTGAATGCAAAATGGTACTAGCATTTGGAAAACAATTTGGCAGTTTCTTATAAAGTTAACAGTAAATGTACCACATGACCTAGAGATCCCACTCCTAGGTATTTACTCAAATGAAATGAAAACCTATATTCACACAAAAACCTGTACATGATAGTTTATAGTGACTTTATGTGTAACTACTCCAGACTGGAAGCAACCCAAATACCGCTCAAATGGCTAATGGATAAACAGGTCGCAGTACATCCATACAACAAAATACTATGCAGCAATAAAAAGAAACAACCACTTATACATGCTAAGATGTGGATGAATCTCAAATACATTATGCCAAATGAAAGAAGTGAGACTCAAAAGGTTACATACTGTATGAATCCACTTATATGACATTCTGGAAAAGACAAAACTATAGAGACAGAAAACAAAGAACACGGCAGAGGAGGAGTTGATTACAAAGGGGAATTCTTGGGCCGGCCCGGTGGCTTAGCGGTTAAGTGCGCGTGCTCTGCTACTGGCGACCCGGGTTTGGATCCCAGGCGCGCACCGACACACCGCTTCTCCGGCCACGCTGAGGCCGCGTCCCACATACAACAACTAGAAGGATGTGCAACTGTGACGTACAACTATCTACTGGGGCTTTGGGGGAAAAAAAGGAGGAGGATTGGCAATAGATGTTAGCTCAGAGCTGGTCTTCCTCAGCAAAAAAAGAGGAGGATTAGCATGGATGTTAGTGCAGGGCTGATCTTCCTCACAAAAAAAAACAAACAAAGGGGAATTCTTTTTGTGATGAAATGGTTCTATATATTGATTTTGGTGATGGTTACATGACTGTATGCCTTTGTCAACATTGCAGAACTATACAGTAAAAAAGGAGAATTTTATGTATTATACCTTAATATGACATACAAAAAAAAGATAAAGTAATAAGGTTTTCAGAACATCTTCATGATATTGCAGTTAGTTGTTTTCTTAAATAGGACACAAAACTACTAACTTGAAAAGAAATAAACACAAATTTCAACAATATTAAGATTAAGAATTTCTGTTTTTTAAAAGACATTATTAAGAGAGTAGAAAGGTATCCCCCAGAGTGAGAGAAGATATTTTCAATTCACATATCTATGAAAGACTCATATCCAGAATATATAAAGAACTCCTACAATTCAATAAGGAAAAGACAAGTAACTTATTAGAAAAAAATGGGCAAAAACCTTGAACAAGCACTTCACAAAAGACAATTTTGAAATGAGCAATGAGCATTTTAATACTGTTCAAGCTTATTAATTATCAGAGAAATACAAATTAAATCCATAATGCAATACAACAACAAATCTGCCAGAATAGATACAATGACAATGACAATGCCAAGTGTTGGTGACAATGTAGAGTGAACAAAACACTCATGCTTGTGGGAGTGTAACTAATACGTGAAATGACTTGTACAAAGTAGTCAAAATAACACTGTTCATAATAGCCCCAAACTGAAAATCACCCACATTAAATGAATAAATAAAATATGGTGAGTTTGGCAGATGGAAGTATAGAAGGACTCTGAACTCACCTCCTCCCATGGACACAGCAAATCTACAACTACCTGTGGAAGAACTTCCTCTGAGAGAGATCCGGAAAGTAGATAAAAAGAACTCTCACAACAAGAGACAACACTGACAGGGGTGGAAAAGACAGACGTACACCTCTGTTGAGGGAAAAACCACACTCTAGCTGAGGTGCTTCATGGCTGGGAACAATCTGAAAGGTACAAAGCTTTTCCTGGAGGAATGGGAGGATCTGAGTGGAGGATCTATGCCAAAATATGCATCCCAACGTTTAGATTCAGCACAACTGAGACGAGATCCCATAAAACCTGGCTTTGCTGACTTTGCAAACCAGTGGGGAATACCCCAGATAAACTACCAAGCTATAGAGAAAGAAAAAACTGATCTTAAAGGGCCCACACACAGATTCACCCATTCTGGAAACCAACTCAAAAACCCAGAAAGAAAAGTGCAGAATCCATTGGTAAAATAGACTCACTTGCTAAGCTCTGAGCACATTGCAGAGAGACAGGAGGTAGCTAGGCCCACACCCCCAGGGACTGAGATACAGGCAGCAACCATTATTGTGACCTAGTGCAGTTGTGCTGACACAGAAACTGGCAGACACCATTGGATTCCTTCCTATAGCCTGTTGGCATAGGAGTTTGCCCTGACCAGTAGAGCACCAATTTAATTGAGCACAGCCAGGGCAGGCAGCCCATCCCAGGGACTCGCCCTGCCCACCAGCAAGCTTACTTGTAGGCAGGGTGTGTGGGACCTCAGCAGTGGGGCAAGTGGGTCCACCTCAGCAGGGCATGCATGCAGCCTGTGTTGGCAGGGTGTGTGGGCCTGCAGACAATGTGGCATGTTGGTTGCAGCAGATTTGTGCCTCTGGCCAACTCTATCAGCCACACGGGGGATCTGTCTCACCTTCCAAAGCCTGAAACAATTATGCACTGCAACACCTAGGGCTGGCCCTACCCATCAGTGTTCCTGAGAGAGCTGACAACAGCTGCATGTTGCAGAGAGCTGCAACAAAGGCCTGCAGCAAGTCTGAGCCCTTGAGCCTAGCAAACAACCACACTAGGGGCCTGACATTCTTAACAGCAGTAGTTGTGTGCGATTAGACCTTACAGCCAGCCATGCCAGGGCTTGCCCCACCCAGTGAAGCAATCATGGCAGCCACACAGGGCTGAGACTTAGAATCAGCTGGCTCAGGGGCCAGCCTAGCCTATTCATGTGCCCACAGCAAGAGCAACCCTGCCACAACAGAAGGGCACCTGTAGCCCAAACAGGGACACTCTTGTAACATTTGGAATGGGTGATGAGAGGAGAGCACAATGGTGGGACCCATAAGGTATCTCTGACACATTTCCAAGATTGGGAGATGTAGCTGATCTAACTAATATATAGATATAAGCACAGAGAAGTGGGCAAAATGAGAAGACAAAGGAGTAAGTTCCAAATAAGGGAACAAGACAAATCCTAAGAAAAAAACTAAATGAAACAGAGATAAACAACCTACCTGATAAAGAGTGCAAATTAACAGTCATAAAAATGCTCACTGATCTTGGGAAAAGAATAGATGAACACAGTGAAAACTTCAATAAAGAATTGGAAAATATAAAAACTAATCAGAAATGAAGAACATAATAATAGAAATGAAAAACTCATTAGAAGGAATCAATAGCAGAGTAGATGACACAGAAGAACAGATCGGTGATCTGGATGAAAGAGTAGAGGAAATTACTCAAGTAGAATAGAGAAAAGAAAAAAAATTAAAAGAATGAGGAAATCTAAGGAACATCTGGGACAACATCCATATTAACATCAATATTATAGGTGTCCCAGAAGGAGAATAGAGAGAGAAAGGGGTAGAGCACCTATCTGAAGAAATAATAGCTAAAAAATTCCCTAACCTGAGGAAGGAAACAGACATCTAGGTACAGGAAGCACTGGGAGCACCAAACAAGATGAACCCAAAGAGGCCCACACCAAGAAACATTATAATTAAAATGTCAAGAATTAAATATAAGGAGAGAATCCTAAAAGCTAAAAGAGAAAAGCAACAATTTACATAGAAAGGAAATCCCATAAGGCTATCAGCTGACTTCTCATCAGAAACCTTACAGGCTAGAAGGGAGTGGCATGATATATTTAAAGTTCTGAAAGGAAAAAATCTACAGCAAAGAATACTAAAACTGGCAAAGTTATCATTCAGAGTGGAAGAAGAGATAGAGTTTTCCAGACAAGCAAAAACTAAAGGAGTTCATCACCACTAAAAAGGCCTTACAAGAAATATTAAAGGGAATTATTTAAGTGGAAAAGAAAAGATCACAAATAGGAATAAGAAAATTATCAAAGAAAAAATCACTTGAAATGGCAAATATACAGTAAAGGTAGTGGATCAACCATCTGTAAATATAGCTTGAAGGTCAAAAGACAAAAGTACTATAAATAACTATCTCCATGATAAGATGTTAAGGGATACACACACACACACACACACACACACACACACACACACACAAAAGAGGTAAAATACAATATCAAAAACATAAAATGTGGGGGAGAGAAGTAAAAGTATAGGGCTTTTAGTAAGATGTCAAAACTAAGAGACAATCAACTTATTAGAGATTGCTATTTACATTGGTTATTATATATGAACTTCTTGTTAATCATAAACCAGAAACCTATAATAAATAAACAAAAGATAAATAGAAAGAAACCCAAACATAATACTAAAGAAAGCCATCAAACAACAAGAGAAGAGAGCAAGAGAAGAAGAAAGGAACAAAGACGTACTACTAAAACACCCAGAAAAAAAGTAACAAAATGGCAATAAGTACATTCTTATCATAACTGCTTAAATGTCAATGGGATAAATGCTCCATCAAAAGACATAGGGTGGCTGAATGGATTAAAAAAACACAGGATTTACACATATGCTACATACAAGAGACACACTTCAGATTTAAAGACACTCACAAACTGCTAGTGAAGGGATGGAAAAAGATATTCCATGCAAAAGGAAATGAAAAGAGATCTGGGGTAGCAATACTTATCTCAGACAAAATATACTTTAAAACAAAAACTGTAACAAGAGACAAAGAAGAGCATTACATAATGATAAAGGGAACAATCCAACAAGAAGACATAACACTTGTAAATATCTATGCACCCAATATAGAAGCACCCAAATATAAAAGCAATTATTAACAGAAATAACAGAAATTGACAATACAATAAGAGTAGGGGATTTTAACTTTCCACTTACATCAATGGATAGTTATCCAAACAGAAGATCAATAAGGAAACATTGAACTTAACTGATACATTAGACCAGATGAACTTAATAGATATAGAGAGAGCATTCCATCCAAAAACTGCAGAATATACATTCTTTTCAAATGCACATGGAATATTTTCCAGAATAGATCACATATTAGGCCATAAAACAAATCTCAATAAATTTAAAATGATTGAAATAATACCAACCATCTTTTCTGACCACAACGGTATAAAACTAGAAATCAACTACAAGAAGAAAACTGGAAGAGCCATATATATGTGGAGATTAAATAGAATGCTAGCGAATAACTACTGGGTCAATGAAGAAATCAAAGGAGAAATCAAAAAATACCTGGAGACAAATGAAAATGAAAACACAACATACCAAAACTTACGGTATACAACAAAAGCAGTAATAAAAGAGGAGGTAAGTGATCCCCAAAAATAAAAGTCCAGGACCAGATGGCTTCTCCAGTGAATTTTACCAAACATTCAAAGAAGATTTAATACCCATCCTTCTCAAAC